AGAAGAAGAAGAAGAAGAAGAAGAAGAAGAAGAAGAAGAAGAAGAAGAAGAAGAAGAAGAAGAAGAAGAAGAGAAAAGTATGCTATGGGTGTCCGCAACTCAGTATGAAAAACGGAATTCCACATAGAGTTACAAGAAACCCAAAATAATCAAGGAGAAGTCTTACTTTCCCATTCAAATGAACTAATCTTTGTGGATCAGCTATACGCCTTCCCCTTTGTGAAACTAAGAATTATAGGTCAGTAGAACACAAAGTCATGGGAACAAGAAGTAAACCTTTGCTGATGGGTTATGATATGCTGGTTCTTGAATCCATGAACCTGTTATGGGAGAAACAGTACCATATATAGGACATTGACTGGAAGCACATACAGTGTTCTGGGGAACTTTGACCCAGCACTGCGAAATATTCTATCTAACTGGCACTATAGTTGCATCTTTACAAGGCCATCCCACTTTCAGTCATTCCAGCAGTCTCTGGATTGTGGGAAACATGGTAAAAACAATGAATTTCATAAGCCCTAGTCCATTGCTATACTTCGGTAGTGTGAAAAATCTTCACTGGTCAGAAGCAGTACTGCGTGGAATAACAGCATGGTAGATGAGGCATCTACAAGTTTGTCTAGAAGCATTATATGCAGAAGAGGCAAATCCATTCCCAAAAAAGTATCTATACCAGTAAGGACAAAACACTACCTCTTCCATGATAGCCATATAATCACCCTGCCACCAGTTCACAAGCTTATGGCTCTGGGGAACTGTGCCATATTAGGGACTCGCTCTTATCCTCCGTGGCTGGGATACTGGGCATTCAGCAGTGGCTGTAGCTAGATCAGCCTCGGTGAGGGGAAATCCATGTTGCTGTGCCCAGGTATCACCTTCATCTCTGCCCCCATGGCCACCTCACTTGGGAGATCACTGGGCAAATACAGGGGAAAAGTGATCCATTTGATTATTAAGGTCCTCTTCTGCTGCAGTCATCTCTTGGTGAGCATTTATACTCTCCCAATGTCTTTACCTCCATGGCCCATATCCACACACTCCCCAATTGTCCAATCATATGTCTTCCAAATACATAACTATCCAGCCAGATAACGGGCTACAGCTCATTGCTCACCACATAGACACCCATCTAGCCACGACTTGATGTCTATATGGGTACTACCTACTCCACCCCTGTGAAGATTTCCTTTCATTACTGTCCTTCAGGGATGACCCAGAAAAGGGCTGCAGAGCTGCAGCCATCCACTTTCTAATGGTGCCTGCATGACATGTGGAGCCATCTGATCCAGACCCTAGTCTTCTCCTCTTCCATTAACTGTTATTATAACTCACTCAGGAGGCCATAGGCTCGCGCTGAGGGACACATGGCTGAATAGCAGAAGTAGGATC